TTCAAACAAATGTGGAGGATGAATTTTGCTAAAACMGCCTGGAATACCACCAGAATAAAGTACAATTGCACTTTCTTGCAATACAGGATCATATAACACTGGTAGTTACACTGCAGATGACAAGAAGTCTCATCCAAAATATGAATCCAAACAAGCTAGCACCAATAAAAGTTTTTATCTATCTATCTATCTATCTATCTATCTATCTATCTATCTATCTATCTATTTATTTATTTATCTGAGAGATCAGTTAGTATGTGGATGCTATCAAAAACTTCACATGTACTTGCTGAGGCTTGGAAAATATTAGACAACGTGCAACATTGAATTTTTGAAGTGTGAAGGACCAAGAAATTGCATTAGCCACTTTGCAAAGCATTGGTGGGAAWGAATTGTTACTATGTATTGCTTCCATAGTAGRAGGTATGACTGGAATAGCAGTATTTTGTATCAACGGGGAGACATTAGTAGATCAAGCTTGCTGTCTGCTAAAGTGTGATAACTCAATGGTTGCACAAGATGATGCACAGGAGAATAACACTTGTTTTCTTACTGAAAGTGTGGTATAATGTGCTAKCAGTAAACAGTTGGAAAAATTGAATGATAATCTTAAAACCATCATAGATTTTTTTGTCATCTACTACAGTACCCATTGTCTTTGCAGGTGACTTCTTGAATCAGCTCAAACCAGTGGGAGGAGACCCTCTTGTTGAAACAGATTCTATCTATCTTCAAGTGAATAGTTAAAACATTTCTCAAAACAGAAACAAACCAAAGATGTTGTTGTAATTTGGCTTAGCTTGATTATGAATTGAAGATAAATGAATTGAAAGAAGAGYATGTGAATTAATCATTTCAAAGTTATGATCTTGGGATGAACTCCCAGAGGATAATGTTTAGATGATCATGTAATCTGGGGGAGGTTCCTTGATGAGTTGAGCACAGATGGATTGGAAGAAAATTGTTGTATAGAGTTGACTAGCAACAAATCTATAATCCAGTTGTAGATTTTGGGCCCTTATTTTTCTGTGYAATGACTCCTTTGTTGACTAAAACGTACAAAATGCACGTGCTTGGTATTAGTGTTGAATTTTAATCCCGTCCAAATAGTTTTGCGCACATGCTCACCTGACAATTTTGGCCTCCAACACATAAAAATTGCTAAGTCAAAGTAGTCATTACACAGTAAAAAGATAGCCCAAAATCCACACACAGTAGAAAAACATGAAAAACATTAAGAGAGGTTCAACTCACCTGAATAGCTATATCTTTGTCCCCAATGGACACTTAAGTATGATAAGCACACCATGAATTGAAAGYCATTTTTAAGCTCTTTCTAACTATATGGGGGAGTCAGATTGTCTTAGTAGTGGACACATATTGATATATATGTACCAATATAGGATTCAAATTGTACAACTGGGTCATGTTTTTTGTTTGGCCAAGCCTACTATGATAATGTGAATTAGTCAATTCAAGGTTTTGGAATCTTGGGATGAACTTTCAGAATATCATACTGCATAGAACAACATGCAGCAATGCAGACAAGAAGTGTGCAATATACTAAGAAGGCATATTCTTAGTTTCTCCTCTAAGGGGACAAAGGAGTTAGAGACAAAGATGAGAGAGAGATTCATGAGGAAGGAGAGTCGTACTTATAAGAAACATAGTAGCAGCAATACTACCAGTAGTAGTACTAGTAATAGACCAAAAAGGAAGAAACAGAGTAGCTATATTGATCCAGCACTGAGAGYTTCTCTGCTTGAAGATGGTTTGGGTGATATACCATCAGGGTCATCAGATGAAGAAGAAACAGAAAAGGAAGAGGAGGATCTAGAATAAATTGAAAATCAATACTAATATATTACATATTTTGAGAATCAATTTATTCTACCMGTAGTATACTAGAGCAGTAGTCCAGAATACTAGAAAAGGATTGGGAGYAATATTCTGTCTGTGAAAATTTGTGTTTTGAAAATAGATTACAGGAAACTGGAGAAAGGAATTGATGACAATAGTAAAATGTTGACAATCAAGTCTTTTTTGGGGTCACGATGTGTTAGTGAAGCATCTCTTGGACAGCACATTCCTCCTACATAATTGCAATTAGCTTGAATGATGTTGTGAGTTGAATGGAAGGTACTGTATGACTGTGGCAATTCAAAAATGGCSGATCTAATCATACATTTTTAATACTTGATACATACAGCAATATAATTAAATACTCAATAACCCTCTACAACCCCCCTATCACTGAATTTGTCTTTTTACTGGGATTTGATTCATATGCTTATTATTGTTATAGTAATGCATGGCAGCAGTCAAGCAGCAGTATCAAACAGTACAACAAAAGAAGTTGTTGCTGGTGTATCTGTTTACAAAAAGTCATTTTGTGAATAAATTGATATCATTTCTTAAACTACAAGGTGCATATATCATCTTTTCATATTTGTTGAATCACTACTTCTAATGTAAATCTGTTCACAAAGATTCCTCTGAAGTGGTTGAGTACATCGGAYGTCAACACACTTTTCTCCACAATTAGTCAGATCATACACAAACACTTTCTGGTAAAGAGTTGAGTCTATCTACACACAGAAATTTGTAGAAGGCCGCACATTCCGAAGTAGACATCGGCGTCTRGTCAGGTTCGGCACCTAGTTGGCAGAAACAAGCATGTTTTCCTTCAAAATGTCAGGTGCACAAGCTAGGGGTTGGAAGTGATCGTGACTTTCCTYGGCCTCGTTCGTGATCTCGCTCTTTCTGTTGCTGCTTTAGATAGATACAATACGCAACATCGTTCAAGTAATTTGCTTCTTCTYTTGTTGGGAGAGGAAGTGGGGCTWGGGGTTGACCGTCAGGGTACGTTTGAGGTTGCATATACCTTGCTGTATCCCACAAGTACGTCATCAAAAAGCCAGATCCATGGTTATCATTGCCACCATTGTCGTCGTCGAAGAGTTCGAATTTCGTTCCCCCRGAGATAATGCAGTACAACAAACATGCTTCTAGCAAGGTACCGTGGGGGCTAGGATGAAAGTCATCGTTCGCATAAAGCAAATTTGACCACATTTCAAAGTTTTCTTGACGAATCTTTCGATATGCCTCGCCTAAAGGTGCAACAGTAGCCTTCAGTAAACTTTGTTGTTTTTGCGGCTSTTGGTGATCTTCACAGAATTTGTTCACTAATTCCACGTACTCATCGTAACCCTGAAYCAATAGTTCAGTAAAGTCATCAAATGAACCCAAGTCAGAGGAATTCTTCACATGACTTTTGTAGGCAGCTGTTTGCACAAAAACTAAGGTAGTTTTAGTAGGTTCTGATGATGGGGTTGCTACCGACTTGTTCATTCCATTGAGAATCGTTGGCAAGTACAAATTTTCGAGGGCGACCATTGATTGTTGTTTGCTCTCGTTTCGGACAGGCGATTGAGTGTGATCGTTCACGACAACAAAATCCCAGTATCTAATGCCGTCACTGTCTCGCTGCCTGGGATCTTTGTTACTCTTTGCGTTGTTGTCAAGAAGGAGATCCCGAACAGTTGGTGCGCCAATGTCGTAATAGTCCTCCCCAGGAAGTTTCGATTTGGGGCGCGACGAAAATTTTTTTTGCATTCCGTTTCCATCCAACCACAGTGAAGGCAGGGTTGCACCGCCTCTAAGACAAGAATCTTGGTATATTTTCAAAGTCTTCGCCAGATCTGAGATACTGGTGACGCTTTCGTCGAGAAAGTTTTTTCGGTCGATTAGAGAAGCACGCAACATGCGTTCCAGCAGTCGGGGACAGTCATTATAATACTGAATCGAATTACCAATGTGGGCGACACGGACACCGTTGTTGTTGATGCTCATGCCGCCGCCAGCTTTGTTTGCTGTGGGTTTTCTTGTCATCTGAGTCTAAGACGATTCAACTTTGAACGCAAATCACCAGAGAATGCGACCATCGCAGTGGGATATCCTATCGTACAAACAGCAAACTAGCGTGGATCGGAACGTGATTTTTCTGAACTTCAATTTTTGTTTGTTACCGTGGCGCACCTTTTTTCGGAGTTCATCATCAGCTTTTATGAAGTACGGACGTGCTCTGTTCMATTACCATTTACCGTACGAGTGTCGTACGTACCGGTATGGAATCGGATTGTGATGAGAACGAGGTGATTTCTAGYAAGCATGATGAATGACGACGACTTCGCCGCATCTATCTGGGACTCCACGGCAGTATCGTACTAACGGTATTTATGGTCGTAAGACACGGTAYGGCTTGTTTTCCCTCCATTGTAGTAGTAGTTTTTGGTACGAGGTTGTGGTGTGAAATATCGCGTGACAGCCTTTTTCTGGTACTATTTCTACACAGGCCTACGTGAAGAACAGTGCGATATATTACACCCTGGAGCTCAAGCTGTCACTTAGTTCCACCTGGAACCCAAAAAAACTACTTTACGAGGCTGCTTATACGGAGGACACTGATACAAGGCTGCTGATACGGAGGAACAGAGCTGCTGATATGGCGACGCTGATACGAGGACGCTGATACGAGGACGATACGAGGACGCTGCTGATATGGAGGACGCTGATACGAGGAGGCTGCTGATATGGAGGAGGTGCTGATACGGATAATGCTGATACGGAGGATGCTGATACGAGTATTCTGATACGAGTATTTTCACGACGATTTTTCGCTGTTGCTTAGATCTAGTGTTTCTTCTAAACCACTCGGTCAATCAATCCGAGACTTCCGGATGCCCCTGTCCTTGTTATAATGAAGAGGTCTTGTATGTCAATCGCGCTGTTAGTGTTGGTTAAAGTGTTGAACTAAAGAGGTGACAGGTCCCTATGCTGGAGGTTGTGTTAATGAGTTTTTCCGAAAATTCGGTGCGCAGAGAAATCAAGTAGCCGGAAAAGGTTCTCTGGCAAGAAACACATACAATATGCACATGTATGGAAAGACAAAAGAAAACCCTTTCCGGCTAATGGATTCTCTAAATCTGATTGGTGCTTTGCTATCATTAACAAGCATGCAAAGCTTGCTCCTTATTACTAAAACGGCTCGCAGAAGTTTGACTCATAACCTGTTATAAATCGCACGCGATATTTAACACCACAACCTCGTATGCAAAATTCAAAAAAAAAGATCCTGCTAGTAGTACTAGTACTAGTACTAGTACTACTACCAATGCTACTAGTAGTCATACTAGTGCAGCTAGTACTACTAGTAGAACTAGTAGTAGTATTGCCTCCTTTGGTGATATCGTAATACTAGTCTGTTAGTACTACTACTACTACTAGAATCATAGTGGGGTAGTAGCACTAGTAGTAATCTAATACTTTGTTGTACAGCACAACTGGAAGCGACAAGAAGTACTACTAGTAGTACTAGTAGAAAAAATCTTTGTCACCAGCAGCAGCAAACAAGAAAACTTCAGAGTTCAAGGAGTTATCAAAAATGGATCGGTATTACTATGTCTAGTATTCTTGTTAACATTAATTCTTTTAGTGGTACTAGAAAATTCTCGATGAAGTCATGTCTAGTTCTATGGTTTGTTGCGATTGGTATTTCAGTGTTGTTATTTTGGTCGTTTCCCAAAAGTTCTGTTGTTGGAGGAGTTACGAAGCGCCCTTCTTACTKGTATAGAATTGTCGGCTTTCTTTTTGTCCTTCTTTGATTCCTTTGGTGGGTTTTGTTGGGACGTTGCGATGATGTCCTTTTCGTTGGTAGCCAAATACGGATGTTTCTCTGTTGATTCCTCATTGCTGTCTATGTTTACGGTAGCCTTGGAACCCGAGATGGGTAATTTTGCCTGTGAAGTCGGTAGTACTGGTGGTGATCGATTTCCAGAGGATGTTGTTCTAGCAGCTTCTAGATTCACCCCGTTACTGGGAGTTGCGCCAGAGATGGGTAGCGTAGAAGATGTTGACGAAGGCAGAGATGATCCACTTTCTTTGGTAGCGGCATGCGTTGCACCAGATACCGGTAATTTTACAACTGAAAGTGACTTGTTTGGTAGTGAGGGTGGTCCTCGGTTTGTAGTAGTATCGCCAAAATTCTCGTCGACATCTATCTTAACAGCGTCAACCCTGGAACCGGAAACAGGCAATGCAGCTACTGGAGGCAGCGTGTCGGCGTGTGAAGTGACAGAATCGTCAAGATATAGAGGAATGGTTGGAGCGGGAGTAAGACTTTGCGTTGGTGAGCTACTCGAATCTCTATGTTCTGGTTCTTCCGCAACGTTGAGCGCCTTCGACGATTCATCTATTGGCATAGGTGATAGAGAAGCTATTCCCCCCCCCGGAAGAAGACTTGTTGGGTTGTGCGAATCCACAATAGACGTTGGCTGACGTTGTTCTTGTTTGCTTGACCAAGTGGTCGTTGTCACAGTAATTCCTACTATGACAAGAACAACYCCCAACAAAGCGCATAAGGTCGAAATCCTACGTGTTCCCAATCGACTCGAAGAGGATGGCGTTTGTTCTAGATTTGTGTAATGGCGATTTCTTTGCTTCACTCTTTTGTACCACGATGATAAAATCTTGAACCCACGGAAAGCATTACCCCTGTTTCGATGATATGATGGCTCTAAAATCCATTCAGCCTCCCAAAGGTAGTCACAATATTCCCCACTGTGATTTTCCKTGCTAATTTTGTCGCCTTCTGGCCAAATAAAATCATTCCATTCGTTCTCGGTACCACCAGCCCATGCCAGTGACAGGTCATTTTCATAGGTGTCACTGCTTCGAAAGTCAAAGCGATCCTGAATAGCTCCTGCCGAATCCAAGAATGATTCGTGGGCTTTGTTAAGTTCTCTCACTAAGTTGTTGGTAGTGAAAGCACTAACGTCGCTCATCGCGTCGTCGTAGCCATTATAATAGTTGCCATTCCGAAACATACAATCATTCGGATCTGGAGAGGAACGTAGTCGTATTTCGTTCAACACCCCATCAATATCGTGACAAGTCTGTTTGATCGATGGAGAGAATACGGAGGATTGAGATTGCTCATCACAATCATTCTGGGAGATACTATCGTCACGGCCATTGTTCAAGATGGCATCACACTCGATTTTCCACTCTGAGTTGCTACGCATATTTGTATCGGTATCGGAGTCGCCAATTCTGTGGTGGTAAAAATAAGAGGGAGGCTCGACTTCAGCTCTTGAGTCTCGTGTGGCCATCGTATCTTTTCTTTTTCTATAGACGACGTTTGCTCATATATGTCTTTGATGGGATCAGTTCCGGTGSGATTTCAATTGAACGTGGAGCATTTACTTCCACACCGATGGATCTGCTAAGGATGGAATAGATTACAGAGGCATTGTCAAAGAAATTGATTATTRACAAGAATATTATT